TAGGTATCATAAAAATTATAGTGCTAAGATGTTCCTTATAGCTTGTAAGAAAAAAGTGGAAGTGACCAACATGTTCAAGAGTAAAGAAGTGTGTCAACAAACAAGACTACATCTACTTGATGAAAAATAATGTAGGTGGGGCTGGGAAGGTGGCTCAGTGGTAGAGCACTTGCCTTGCATGCATGACGCCCTGCGTTTGATTCCTCAGCACCACATAAGCAGAAAAAGCTGGAAGTGGCGCTGTGGCTCAAGTGGTAGAGCGCTAGCCTTGAGCTGAAGAGCTGAGGGACAGCACCCAGGCCCAGAGTTCAGGCCCCATGACCACCACCACCACCAACAACAAAACAGAACAGATTGTACCAACAATGATTATGTTTACCTGGTTGGTACTTGCATTATGAAGAATAAATTCAATTCAAAGAGATGGCCAAGATTACATTCAAGGTAGCTGTTTTCTGTCCACTTTCCCATGTTTTCTAGCATTTCAGTTGTGTATAAATTATCCACAATGCTGATGTTTTACTGAAAAGGTGTGAAGTCTCTAGATAATACACCAACAAAAACATCTTTAAAATGTTTTTATTGTGTCCAACATTGCTTTTCTGCACAATATACAATTAGTTAGAAAGTGGAAACAATGAACCAAAAAACCCAGAAACAACACTGGTGACTCACACTGTAACCCTTGCTATTCAGGAGACTGAGATCTGAGATTTGAGGTTTGAAGTCAGCCAGAGCAGAAAAGTCTATGACACTCATCTCTAATTAAGCAGCACAAAGCTGGAAGTGGCTCAAGTAGGAGAGAGCCAGCCTTGAGGGGAAAAAGTCAGGGAAGAATACGAGGCCCTGAGTTCAAGCTCTTGAAGGGGATATCAACACTCTAGCCTTTGCGTCCTCCTTTGCGTCCCTGATGCCATGAGAAGAATTGTTTTCCTCTGCCATGTGTTCCTGCCATGATGCACAGTGTCACCCAGGCCCAAAGCAACTGTGTGTAACTGAAACCATGAGCCCAAATTAGCTTTTCCTCCTTTTAAATTGCATCCCTCAGGTATTTGTTATCGTAATGGAAAGCTGACTATGCACTTACCATCCACTTACCTGGCTCCAGCCCTCATCATTGAGCTAATGATTTTCAAATCTCAATCACAAATCCTATCTCTTCTCCAAAAGTTCAGACCCAGCTTCTTCCTGGGCTTTCCCATAAGTCTGGATGTATCTCAAAATCCCATAAGTATCTCAAAATCAGTATGGCCCCACCTGAACTCATCATTTTCTCTTCCAAAACCTGCTTTGTCTCCCACAACCCCAAGTTTCATTAAGGCTGCACCATCTGACTTGGTACCCGAGAGAGAGACTAAATGAATTTCTGTACTCCTTTTCACTTATTTGCTTATGAAAACCTGCTGAGTTTAGCTTATAAATGGCCCAGATCCATCTTCTCTATTCCAATAGGCCCTCATCGTATCTTGTCTGGATTATTACATCAACTTGCTAACTTGTTTCTCTTTCTTCATTCTTTGCTTTCTATCTGATCATAAGCAAAGGCATCTTACCTAAACCTAGCCATAATTGTATTACTTCCCATCTTTATTTTATTTTAGTTTTTGTTGGATGGTGAGGCTTGAACTCTGGACTTGGGTGCTGTCTCAGAGCTCTTCAGCTCAAGGAAAACACTCTACCACTTAAGACACAGTGCCACTCCCGGTTTTCTGGTACTTTATTGGAGATAAGAGTCTCACTGGAGGACGGGAAGGAATGGGAAGGGGCAACAAAGGAGGAGGCTACAATGCTTGATAAGAAATGTACTCATTATCTTGTCCATATAATTGTAACCCCTCTGTACAGTATTTTCACAATAAAAAAAAAAGAGTCTCACAGACTTTCCTGCTCAGGCTGGCTTAGAACCGTGATCCTCAGATCTCAGCCTTCTTAGTAGCTAGGATTATAGGTGTCAGCCACTGGCACCCGGCTTACTTTCCATCTTTAAAAACAAGGAAACTCCATTATCCCAAGAATTCAAATTCCTTGACAGCTCCAAGGGCCTGTCACAATCTATCCTCAGTTTCCCTTCCTGGTCTCATCTCCAATTCCAAATGGGAGTCCTTTTTATTAACTACTCAAAATCTTCCACTTTTCGCCAAATAGACCACACCTTCTCTCTGCCCAAATGTCCCCAATCTTCTCTCCAAGTTTCCTATTGGCAATGCTCCTATTCAAAGCCAAGTCACCATGCCATTTCTGCCACCATGCTGTTCCCAGGGCACCTTCCTCTCACAGGACTTTGTCCTACATCTGTTGTCCTCCCTCCTCTTTCTTTCTCCTTCCCCTGTCTGTTTGTGGTACTGGGAAGCAAACCCAGAGCCTCTAGTATCTAGGCAAGTTCTCTTATCACTTACGCCATGTCCTAGATCACTTTGTCTAGGCTGGCTTTGATCCCATGATTCTCCTCCCTTCACCTGCCGAATAGCAAGGATGATGGGTGTGTGCCACCATGTACGCCCAACTATTTTATTTCTTTCTCTTTTTTAAAATTTTTATTTTTTATTGTTGTTATAAAGGTGACATACAGAGTGGTTACAGTAACATAAGTCAGATTATGAATACATTTCTTTTTGGAAAATGTCACCCTGTCCCTTGCTCTCTCCAAGTTTTTCCCTCCTGTCCCTACCCACAAGTTGAATAGTTCATTTTCCATATAGTGTCTAGTGAGTACCGCTGCCACATTTGTTGTCCCTTTGTCCCTCCCAAAGACAGATAAATGAACAAACAAGAAAAAAAAGAGGGGGGAGGAGGATTGGGTGAGGGGGCAGGGGGAGGATGGGAAGGGATGGAAAGGGGAAACAAAGGAGGAGTTTACAATGCTTGATAAGAAATGTACGCATTATCTTGCCCATGTAATTGTAACCCCTCTGTACAGTATTTTCACAATAAAAATTAAAATTAAAAAAAGAAAAGAACAACAGCAACAGCAACAACAACAGCAGAAAGAACAAATCTCTTGTTTCCATTTCTTTCTCTTTTTTTTGGTCAGTGGTGGGGTTTGAACTCTGGGTTTGGGCGCTGTCCTTGCGCTCTTCAGCTCAAGGTGAGTGCTCTACCGCTTGAGCCACAGTGCCACTTCTGGTTTTCGAGTGGTTTATTGGAGATAAGAGTCTTATGGACTTTCCTGCCCAGGCTGGCTTTGAAATACGATCCTCAGATCTCAACCTCCTGAGTAGCTAGGATTACAGGCGTGATCCACCGGCGCCCAGCTTTGTTTCCATCTCTTGAAGTGTATCTCAATAATTTTTTTTGGCAGTCATGGGGCTTGAACTTGGAGTCACTGTTCCTGAGTTCTTTTGCTCAAGGCTAGCCATCTACCACTTTGAGCCACAGCTCCACTTTCAGCTTTCTGGTGTTTAATTGGCCATCAGAGTCTCATGGCCTTTCCTGCCCAAGCTGGCTTTGAACAATTAGCCTTAGATCTCAGCATCCTGAGTAGCTAGGATTACAGGCATGAGCCACTGCACCTAGCTAGTAAATATTATTTTATATGATCAGATGCACATAGGCATTACATGTTTGTGTTCCTCTCCTAAGAGTATTCTCCTTTGGTCTCACTGTGTGTGGATGCCTCAAGTACTATATAATTTATCATGTCCCAGTGTATTTTAGGTCTAGCTTCCACATATGAGAGAAAACATATGCCATTTGTCTCTCTGAGCTTGGCTTACTTCATTTAACATGATTTGTTCTAGGTCCATCCATTTCCCTGCAAATGACATAATATTATTCTTTCTAATGGCTGGGTAAAATTTCATTGTGTATAGGTACCACATTTTTTAGATCCACTCTTCTATTGTAGCATCTGGTCTGTTTCCACAACTTGGCTATTATGAATAGTGCAGTAATGAACATGGATGTGCAAGCATCTTTATGGTATCTTGGTTTGTGATGTTCTGAGTAGATGCCCAGGAGTGGTATGGCTGGGTCATAGGAAAGACCTATGTATTTCTAATTATTCTTAGTTTTGTGCGTGTGGTCCCAGAACTGAAGATGATGCCTGGTGCTCAGCAGTAGCTGTAAATATTTGCAGTGTCAATGAGCTCCCAGCAGGCCGGGACAGGTCTAACTCTGGGCTCCATATCATTCTGAGAAAAGAGAAAACAGCCCAGGCACTGAATCCTCTCTGCAGTTATCGGCTCAGCTCGCTCCATTCCCATCCTCTGAGCAGTGACTCTCACACTTCATTACACAGTCAGAGTCTCCTTCCTTCCCCCCGAAGACTGATTTAGCAGTGATGAATGCATCCTGCCCAGTATTGATTGAACAGTGAGCTGGACGTATTCAGAGACACCCGAGTAGGGAGAAAAGATACGTTTTTCTAAAACAGGAGTAGAAAATGGAGCTCAACTATATCCTAGGGTTCAAAAGAAATAGAGCATAAGGACTTTGCATTCAATTTAATTAAACTTATGCAAAAGTCCACTATTGGAGGAACCCAAAAGACAAAAGATCAGCCCTCCTAAATTCTATTTATCTGTTAGGTGGTACCTTAGAGTCCAAAGTCCCACCATCCGGGAAGTCTCAGGCAAGGGCTAGATGCTCCTCTCTTCTCACAGTAAGCAGAGATTTTCATTTAAGACAACATGACTGTCAGGATTTCTTTTGCCTCTTGGACTATAAGTTAGACAACATACAACAACATTGTGTTTATTTGGTCTAATCTGTTCGGAATTTAGCTCCATCCCCTATGAGTTGTCCTGGAAATCGTCATTTAATTAAATTGAATGAAATCGTCTTCCTTTCATCCCTCAGGAGATTAATAAGCACACAGCTGCACCCTCAAATATTTATAGAATGAAGGAAGGAACACAATCCAGGAGCTCACAGAGCAGGAGATAGGTTGAAGGGTAGGGAGGATGGCTAGGTGTTTGTGGCCCCAATCTACCTCTGCACGCCATTTAGGGTCCATGTGAAGCACAAAAAGCAAGGAATCGAGTTCAAGGGGGAGTTGTTAAGGCCAGATGGAAATGTAGCATGATGATCATTGCATTTCTAGGTGGGAGGAAGTCCAGGCACAGGAACCAGGGCCTGGAAAGACTGAGAGGAAGGAAATGCTGGGTTAGATCTAGCTGGGACAGATGGGGATTTAAGGAGGAGGGTGGGACAGAAGTCTGAGTGTGAGTGAGCAGGGAGGTGTAGAGGGGATGGAGGTGGAGTCCAGCACTGCTCCCTGACCACCCCTGAATCCCAGGTGGAGAGAATGGGGTGAGAGGCTGGGAGGCATGGCATGGTAGGTGCTCACCCTGAGCCAGGCCTGGGCATCTGGGGAAGGATTCTCCCCCCATCTCCATCTGTGGGAGTGGGGAGGGGAAGGGAAGTGTCTGCCTGGTAGGGTGGGGCCATTGCCGGCTATGAGTAGCTGACCCAGAAGGGAATGACTAACTAAGGCTTGGCTCTGATCAGGCTAAAAGAAGGACGCCAAGTTATGAGCTGATGATAACTGACTGGGCCCTGAGTGTTTGGGGTCGTGCCCATGGGCTGGTTGGGTGGATAAAACAGGCTGCCCAGCCCACGGACTGCTTTCTTTGCATCCTGCTTGCAGTGTTCCTGGTGGGCCGGGCAGCAGCTCAGGAGAGGACAGCTGTTGAGGGGTGGGCAGGTGACCTAGCTGGCTCTGCACCTACCCAGGCAGCTTGCAGACCCTCAGGTGCCAGCTGGGGCTGGTGGGAAGCCAGACAGCAGCAGGTGGGGTGAGGACCAGCATGGCAACTGCAGCCTGTGAACCCATGGCCAGGCCCAGCTTGACCTCCATCTCGTCGGGGGAGCTGCGCAGCCTTTGGACGTGCGATTGCGAGCTGGCCGTGCTACCACTGACACAGCTGCTGCATCTGCAGCCAGGCGCCTTCCAGCTGCGGGGCGATCAGCTGGTGGTGCCTGGGCCAGGGGACACGGGGGCAGCGCACGGGGGTTTTAACGTCTTTGGCGACGGCCTGGTGAGCCTGGATGGGCAGCTCTACCGCCTCAGCAGCTACATCAAGAGGTGGGTGTCCTTGTCTCCCTCCCTTGGGGATCATCACCTGGTCCCCCCAATTCTTCACCTTTCTGTGGTGGATACCCCAAATCTTCCCTGCACAGACCTCCATCTGGGACTCTTTTTCCACCCCTCCCCTCCCCTCGTGGCTGCCTCTAGATGGCTCATTAATATCACTTGGAGCCTGCAAACTTCCTGCCCAGATTTTCTGCAGCTTGAAGCAGTACAGAAGTCAGCGTGAGGGGCGCCTCGGGGAGCATAGGGTAGAGACTCTCTTGGCCACCACTCAAGGCGCCCAGTGCTTTTCCTATCCCATTCTTTAACTGGGTGGGAAGAGCTCAGATTTGGGGGGTGTCACACCCTTCAGGAAATGTTTGCAATGCCCACATCACCCCCTTGGCTTTAGATTTGGAATGTGCAGACTGCATGAGGTACAAAGAGGAAGGAAGTACCAGTTTGAACATTATTAGCTTTATTCAATGAGGAGATAGGTCCAGCAGAGAAGCAATGAGAAAAAGTTCACTTCACTGGAGACCTGGACTTCTCTGTGTCTCCTGAATGAACCCATCAGCCATGGGGGATGGGGGTGGGGATCAAAACCTGGGGAAGCCCGGGGAGGGGGGGGAGCATGTGGGGAAGCAGATGCAATAGTGTGGCTTTTAAAGTCTCTTACAGATTGTGGGACAAACCTGAATCTTGAATTAAATAAAGGCATCCAGGATGCTTAATTGTGATGAGCAAAGTAACTGAAATGCTTAGGCTGGGATGTGGGTCATCCATCTCAGCATATAAAGAAGGAGGGCAATTCATGTCTGATTCTAAGTAGCCTCCAACCCCCAGGGACCAATCTGGGGGAAGAGAGTGAAAAGCTCTGTTTATATGTAATCCAGGGATTGAGCACTCCAGAGAGTCAAGTTGAGATCTAGAGTCTGATTGATTAGGGAGCCCCTCCCACCTCCTATCCCCCCACATGCCCCTGTGACTCGGAAAGGCAATACTGGGCACCCAGTGAGTGGGATGGATCCTAGAAGGGCAGGTAAAAATAAGAGAGAGATTTGCAGGGCCTTCTTCAAGGCTGCTGGAAGCAGAGCAGGAGAGCAGGTGGGAAGGTTTGCTTTGCCTCACCAAGACAGTGAAAGCATTTGAGTACCTGAAAAGTCGTTCTCCAGCAAGAGTTTCTCCCTTAGTCATAGGAAAATTGTGAGCTGATAAGTTGGGGACAGTGAGAGGAAGGAGTCCAAAATCAGATTTATAAATGGTTAACAAAGAGATGACTGTTGGTCAGTCACAAGCTCCCATCTATAATCCTATCTACTTGAGAGGCTACGATCTGAGGATTGTGATTCAAAGCTCAGTCTAGAAAGGCTGGAATTAACAAAGAGGACCTCAAGCTGACTTCTTCTGTTTGGCATGGAAGAAGCATTATGGGCAATCTAAGTAAGCACAAGGAATGATAACTGGCTATTCATTTATTTGAGTACCAGAGGGTACCAAGCATTAGCTCACACCAGCTTACAAAGTTGGCATGATTGTCCCTGACCATTTTAAAGTGGGGGACACTTAGGACTCAGAGATAAATGATGAACCTCAGGCAGATACCGAAAGCGTTCTACATAGAAACTGGGCTTCTAGGTAGCATCATCTAACAGGGATATCAAACATTTGGTCCTCCAGCCATGTAAGGCCCTCAAAATCACTTGGTACATGACTGAACAGACATGCAGGGTTTTTTTTTGTATGCTTCCTGTCTGCTGCCTTCTGCCTGTATTGATAATTTTGTATGGCTCTCAAATGATGTTATAAATACCCCAATGGTTGTTGGCAGAAAAAAGGTTACCCAACTCTGGAACCTATGCTGCCAGAAAACTGTCTTGAGCCAGAAATAACTCTTCCTTCTTTCAGCTTGTAGCAGCTTTTCACATAGACAATAACTGAGCAAGTAACTCACAAGTAAATAACTGGGATCTATCAGCCCATGGGTACCTTCTACAGTGAGTCTAAAAAGAGGATGGACGTGCAGGAGATTTAAGGAAGGTCCTGAAGGCAGAGGTGTAACCTGCTTCTGCTCACATCTGGCCATCTGTTGGCTAGGTGAGTGACAGTTATGCACAGTGCTGGGGCAGAGGGCAAGATGAATGGGGAGAAACTCATGAGGCAAGCTAGGGAAGAGTCGGGGAAGGGACACATTTTGATTTGTGCTGAACAGAAGCCCCCTTGCCTCTCTCTCTCCCCACCCCCTCCCCCAGTGAAGCTGTCTGCTGCTCAGACTTGGGGGTCTCAGCTGCATATGAAGCTTGCAGGGCTGTGCACCTGTCCTGTGACCCTCCTCCGCTCTGTCCCAGTTCTCAGATGTGGAAACCTGCCTAGAGTAGCAGCCTCTGTACAGGGTGCCTCACAACACTGTTGAAATGATACCCATCCCCACACTGAGCTGGGAGTCTGGCGAGACCCAGCTTAGAGGAAGTGCAGGCAAGCTGGGAATGCCAGGCTCGGCACAGTACCAGCTCAGCCACCCTGAGATGTATCCTTTAACTCCATGGGACTCCATTTTCTCAGCTATAAAGTGGGACTAATAATCTTCTCAATCTTAGAAGGCTCATGTATAGACTTAAAATTGGGAAAGTCCTCAAAAAACAGTGATTGGCATACATTTATCCCTTGACAGATGTTAGAATCCCTCTTTCTATATATAAAATATGTCTATCAATCATTTGCGTGTGTGTGTGTGTGTGTGTGTGTGTGTGTGTGTGTGTGTGTGTGTGTGTTCCACTAGAGGGCTTTGAATTCGGGTTCTGGATCATGTTAGACTTGCTTGCTTAGCTGACACTCTACCACTTGAGCCAAGTCACCAACCTGATGTTTTTGCTGGTTATTTTGGCAACAAAGTGTCACTAACTTTATTCTTGGGTTAGCCTCAAGCCTCAATTCTCCAGAGCACAGCCTCCTATATAGCTAAGATTACAGGCTTGAGTCACTAATGTCAGGCTAAGTAAGCTTTTATATTATTATTATTATATAGGCCCACAAACTAAGTATATTGCACATATGATTTAATTTATTAGCCACCTCATAGGATAACTTTTGTTAGCACAGGTAAGGAAAATGAATTCTAAGATGTTAAAGTATTTAGATGAGAGGGTGTTTTAACTTTGAACCGTTGTGGAAGTCACAGAACCAGCCATCACACTCTGATCCATCTGTTGGTCGTAAAACCACAGGCAGTGCTGCCTCCCTTCCTGGCTTCCTCCTCCAGAACTTGGCTCTGACCTCCAGCCACACTGAGGGCTATTCTCCTAGGCTTACCTGGGCACTGTCAAAGGTCTGCCTGGCCTGTTGAATGCAGCCACTCTGTAGCTCCAGGACTCTTGTTTTGCCAATCTCTTTGTCAGAACAACCTTTCATTTAATATCTGTCTCACTTCAATAAATGGCTTTAACTCCTGGCCCTTTCCCCTCTACTCCCATTTATTTAAACAGACTAGACATAACCTAGTGGAGTTTGAATACACAAATGCATCAGATGCTTTACATTTCTCTGGCACTTGCAAGTTTGAATGAATTATTGGTTTGTAAGACTGCATGGCAGGTGCTATGTCTCTAGTGTGTCTCAAGCGTCGAATGAGTTTGCAAGGCTCCTGGGGATATTGATCCAATATGATGGAATAATACTGAGAGAGGCTCTGTCTACTTTTTTTTTCTTTTTTCTGTTGCCAGTTCTGGGGCTTGACCTCAGGGCTTTGGTGCTGTCCCTGAACTTTTTTGCTGAAGGTAAGTGCTCTTGAGCCACTTAGTGCTCTTACTGCTTGATCTACAGCTTTACATCTGGCTTTTTGGTGGTTAATTGGAGATAAAGAGTCTCATGGACATTGCTACCCAGAGCTGGCTTCAAACTGAGGTCCTCAGATCTCAGCCTCCTGAGTAGCTAGGATTACAGGCATCAGCTACCAGCACTCAGCTTGGATTCTGAATTATAACAAGATCCCAGTGCCATGTGAACTAGGATCACACTTAGAGCAAGAAGGTCTTATTCACCCATCATATTCATCAAAGAGACCATCGGAAGCAAGATGGTTTCTTTTCTCATCTTTGTGTTCCCAGAACCTAGCACACAGGAGTTTAGTAAATCTTCATTGTATATAGGCACGGATGGACAAAATCTCTGTCAAATCAATGTTTTACCGAGACCAAGCACCCACAAGCTACTTTATGAATAAACAGATGGACATGTAGATGCTTGATTCAAGCCACAGATGTGAGCATCCCAAATCTGAACATTTTGTTAAGTCTCACTGAAGTTAGTGTAGAAAGAGAAGCTGACGAAGCTCTGCACAAAGTGATCAAGCAATCACTGAGAACAGACACTTGCTCACCCTAACAGTGGTCTGTGCCTGAGGGCTTTTGCTTAAGGGTCCCAGCCAAAGACTGTGAAAGCTACAGCAGTTCCAGGGCCTCCTACATACACAAACATGATTGCTGCATGCACCTCTTTTTCTGCTCTGCAATCCATGTACTTTTTTCCCCCCTTTTTAACTGTTGACACTTAACACGCCACACAAAGTTTGCTGTGTTAACCATTTTGAGAGAACAGTTGAGTGTCATAAAGTAATTTCATATGTTAGTGCAACCATTACCTCTGGCCACCTTCAGAATGATTTCATCCCAGATCAAAACTCTGGGCCCACTAAAGAGTTTCTTAGTCCTGTCTCTTCCAGCTCAAGTAACACCATTTGTTTTCCCTGAATGAATTAGATTATTCTGTTTAACTAATAGAAGTTTGCATTATTTTGTGGGTTAATTCACTTAGCACATTGTCTTCAAGGTTTATTGAGGTTGGAGTCCATGTCAATATTTCCTTTCTTTCCTTTCCACCACACGTTTAATCACTCTTCTGCTGCTTCCACGTTTGGGCCACTGTGAATGCTGCTTCCAGGAACAGAGGTGTTTAAATGTGTATTTGAGTTTCTACTTTCATTTGTTTATTTGGAATATAAAGATTTATTATTTTTATTTTAATTGGCAAATATTTAAAAGCTTCTATGATATTCCACTGGGATGTTTTCATATAGGTGTATATATATATTTAAAAGACAGACATACCGGGTTCTGGTGGCTCACTCCTGTAATCCTAGCTATTCAGAAGGCTGAGATCTGAGAATCTCAATTAAAAGCCAGGCAGGAAAATCCATGAGATCTTTATCTCCAATTAACCACCAAAAATCCAGAAGTGGAAATGTATCTCAAATGATAGAATGCTAGCCTTGAGTGAAAAAGCTAAGAGACAGCATTCAGGCCTTGAATTCAAGTCCCAGTACTAGCATATTATA